CTAGGACTTAAATTTGTTAGAACTTCTCCCTGTGTTGCAAGAGTAAGATGAGGCTTTCTACTCTTCTAAAGAGTAATAGTCTCAGAAACTCACAGGGGGAAGTTCTAGCCTGTCTTATAGGGTCACTATGAGCTGGAATCAGTTCTATGGCAGTGAGTCTCCCTGTATGCACCATGCCCCTCAATCACTCATATTTCCTTTTTTTACATTTCTGTGCTTTATTTTGAGTTATTTCTTCCTCCCTTTCTTTTTACTTATGTTTTCCAGTGATATCTAGTCTACCTTAGAACCCATCCACAGAGCAGTGGCTTTCAACCTTTGAGAGCTTGTAGAGATCACAGAGGCTCAGGCCACTTACATAGGATAGAGCCTGGGCTCTTGTGTTTATTAAGTTTCCTGGTGATCTGATTTCTACCAACTTTAAGAGACAATGCCATAGAGTGATTTTGTTTGTCTTTTACAATGTAGCCAATTTACTTATTAACATTAGCGAAAGGGAGAAAGGAAATCTTGAACATAGATAATCCAGAAATCATTCTTACCATCTTTTTGGCAATAGATTTCATTTTTCCAACGTGTTATTTTGTTATTATTTTCTTTACATGGAGAATGCACACAGCAAAAGAGACCAGTTTATCAGTGTCTACATGTACAATACAGGGACTCTGATTTGTAGTCTTCTAGTTTTCATTTGTATTTGTATTCATTCTCACCTTCCTAAGGTTTCTAACTAGCCTTTCAGTTGCTATTGTCAATTTGATCCCATACAGAAAGCTCTTGAACGAGCACAGTACTCAAGACAGATACTCTTTCTGATTTATTAAACTTTTAAGAAAACTCCTGGGGGTATTTTTGGTGTAAGTTTAATTATTAGTTACACCTGTTTGTTTCAAATTCACCTGCTTAACTTTGATAGACCTTTCTCGTGCTTTCAGTGCCTCCCTTTAGACTTGAAATCTTTCATATATAAATATTTTATGTTCTGTAACTGATCACTGTCAGTAGTCCTTGGCAGTGAGACTCTGTTTTGTTGCATTATCGTCCATGTTAATTCTTTCTTAGGCTGCCTTGTTCCCTTGAATGTTTAGTAATTCTCCATCCTGAACCCATGCTCTTTGGAATGCAATTTTATCTTCAGGAATTAGCTACGGCCTTTGTTTAAAGCACCTTTTCAGGGAGGGTTTGCTTTTGTTTCTGCCAGCTGCCTGCAGCTACTTTCACCAGGAACAACGTAAACTTACTTTTTAGTTTAGGTGTGTAACTTTAGGAAACAAACGTGGCTGACTTGACTTTAGCAATTTTTTATCTTTTCCACTCAGAACTAAGAACTCTGTATGAGCCCATGATCTGCTTCTGATGGACAGGGATTTATTTATATTTTTTCTCAAATTTCACTGGCGAGATGGCTTAGATTTATGGCAGGTTATTGGTGGTGGTGCTGATGGTGTTAGTAATGGTGTTGGTCTGAACCACCCTCAAGTCCTGTTAAGGACTTTTGGTTTTGCCTTCTGGCCCTGCCTATAAACCTACTGCCATTGAGTTAGTTCCAGCTCACAGCCACCCTACAGCACAGAGTAGCACTGTGCCTTCGCCTTCTGATACTGTCGATTTTTACAGAAGCACACAGCCTGCACACACCCTTGATTTTCTCCCTTAGAACAACTGGTAAGTGTGAACCCCCTGCCTTGAGATTAGCAGTACAATGCTTACCCCACAGTGACTTGTGCATAGTGTTGTGAAGTGCTGTCAGTTCCAACTCATTGCAACCGTGGATGCAGCAGAATGCACCACTCCCTGGTCCTGTGCCATTCTCACAGTTGCGTTTGAGCCCATTGTTGCAGCCAAGTGTCAGTCTATCTCGTCAAGGATCTTCCTCTTTTCCACCGTCCTTCTATTTATCGAGGATGATGCCATGTTTTCAGGGACTAGTCTCTCCTGACATGACCAAAGTCCTAGAGATGAAGTCACCCCATCCTTATTCCCTCGTACATATGGCTCCTTAAAGCACAGGACCTAGGCTAGCATGGATCAGTCTGTACCCCCAAGACAAACTTTGATCCATCTTGAGGTTTTGTTTTTGGTTTTGCATTTGGTATGAGATATGAGCCGTTTCATTTTTCTGCAAATGAATATCCAGTTTTACTACACCATTCAAATTGTTCTTTTTGTCATTGGAGGGTGTATTAAAATCTAGTATTAATATAGACTTGTCCATTTCTTTCTTCAACTCTAAAAGAGTTTGATTAATATATTTTGAGACTTTCTCACTTTGTGTATAAATATTATGGTTTTCGCCTCTTGTTCAATTGACTCTCTAACCATTATTTAAGATCCTTCATTGTCTCTTATGCTGGTTTTTGCCTTAAAGTCTTTTTTAGTAGGCATTAATATTGCTATTCTTGTTTTTTGATTGCCATTAGCTTAATATGATTTTTCTGTCCTATGTTTTTTTCCTGTTTGTTCTTTAATCAGCTTAGTTTTGAGAGATTTGTCTTCAAGCACAATAATCCAGTCTTTCATTGATATAATTATATGCCTTTGCACTTTCAATACATTATGTAGTTCTGAATTCTTAGTACTAATCTTCTGCATTTCTATTTGATGTTTTTTAAAAATCGTTTCTGGCTTTTTCATTAATTTTGTCAATTTTCTCTTGTGGTGTTTTTCTGAGTACTTCTAAAAAGTTTTCTATACTTTCCCTGCTTTCATCTTCAACCTTCTCAAACTTTACCTCAATCCACTGAAAGAATCTAAATATCATTCTTTTGAATTCTTAATTCCTATGCTGTTTCTTCCTGAGACAGGTCTTCTGGTTATGTGTTTTAGTCACTCGTTTGAATAACTGTATTGCTTCTTCATGTTAAATGAGGTGGTCTGCTGTCCCTGACATATGGTGGTGTGTGCTGTTTGTATTTAATTGATGGTTGGATGGTGGAGAAACCTTAGGCCTTCATCATTGGTCTCCTGGTTGGTGTCAAATGGAATGTGAGTCTGTGTGCAGTTCTTTGTGTGCTGCTTTTGTAGCACAGTTGAAGGTGGGTTTGGCTGGTGTTGGCTGTTATGTAATGATCAGGTGGCATAGGAGTAGGTAGTGGTTCTTGCCCAGTAGGTGTGGCTGTAGGCAGTACAATGTGACTGGGCCATGTGGACATGGTTACTTTCTCATTGTCATCCACCATTGTGAGTCTTTGTATTGGTTCTATGGATGCTTTTTTGATTGAAATAAATTTAGGATGCAAAAAATCAAAAAGGTCTTGCTGTAGGTAAGCCTGCCGTTCACCCATCTGTCTCTTCTCTGGCTACTTACATTCAGCTTTTCCTCCTAATCTGTATTCAATCCACTTCTCTGCCCTTTCCTCTGAAGCTGAGGGTTTTGGGATTAACATCTGTATCTGTTTAACGGGGTCTCGTGTTCCTTTCTTGTAGTGGATCTGTGTAGGGCATCTTCACAGGCTGCCTTCTTGCTGGAAGTCTTCTAACTATTTTAAAAATAAACTTTTTAATGTTTTATAAAACTACTTTTATTTTTGACCTAGTATTTCTTTGTTGGACTGCCTTGGGATGGGTTCTATCAATATCTAGTGTGCCATATTGCTAAAATGGAAGAATCAAATCTTACTACAAGATCTCAGAAGCATATTGTCTAACACATAGGCAGAAAGTTTTGTGAGTATTAAACTTTCATATTTTCATGTAAACTTTTATGTTTTAATTTTTAATTTCTATGTTAATTTTATAATCTTCTCTGTCGTTGTTTACTCTTCATTAAGACTATCAAGATAACCTATTTTCCTTTTGTTACTTTGAGGAGGTTCTTGAGTTCTATGCTCACAATGGAGATTCTGTGGATAAGTGGAAGAAACCTTTAGTGATTGAGAAACTCAAGGTAAAAAAAATAAGAAACCTTTTACCATTAGAAAATTTATATACAAGTGTGTCTTTGAAACGTCACATAACTTGATGTCACACAACAGCAGAATTATGTCAGTAATAACATTTTAAAATAGTAAGTTTTAAAATAGAAATGTAATATAAAAATTATCCTCATTTCCTTAATAAGGTAAATGATGAAGGCAGCCTTTTACAGCTGTTCAAAGAAATTATGTCCTTAATCAGCACTACTTACCCCCAGCTGTTACTCAAGGAGGCGCAAGGCAATATAGGACAGTTGTCCCAGATGGTCTTAATCCAAATTTAATGTTTTCAAATCTTAACAGTAACAAATGTGAGGGACTGAATGGTAGACAATAGTACATTTGGCATGATTATACTGAAATGTGGAAGATTTTGTAAAGACTGTGATTCAATAGGACATACTCACTCACATAAGCAATTTAGTTTTCAATCAAATCTAAAGAAGCTTGGAGGATAAGACATTTCTTTTACAGCTAAATGATTGATCTATAATGAATTAATTATCAGTTGGTTGAAAAGTTCAAGCAATTGGGTGTTTTAAATTTAAAAAAAATTGTAAACATCAAGTATCTTTTGAAAAGAAACTACTTTGGGTCATGCTAAATTATGATCACTCTGGCATGTTCATTGCCTTGACAGGAGATGGCCAAAGCAGAGGGCCTCTGGAACCTGTTTTTGCCAGCTGTGAGCGGTCTCAGCCAGGTGGACTATGCCTTGATTGCTGAAGAAACAGGAAAATGCTTTTTTGCTCCAGATGTCTTTAATTGCCAAGCACCAGGTTACTACATTATTTAAAAACAGTGATTTTGCTGATATTTTCAACAGTGTTTGAAACTTCTCTTGTTTTATGACATGGACATTTTTCTATTCACAGCCATTAATTTATAAATTTGTCTATAGTGCTATTTTTGATGAGTGTGATTTAAATATAAAATGTGGATCTACAGTTCTCATCGTTATTATTTTGTTAATTATCATTACATTAAAAGTGCCAGTGAGTAGATTGGCAACATAAGGATCTTGGGGGGGATGGACATTTCAATGGCTAGATGAAATGGCTAGAGAGTTCTAAATCTTTTGACTAGCCTTACTACCTTGCCTTTCTTGCCAAATATTTTTAGATCATTTACATTATGTCAAATAGTGTTCTGGATCCCTGGGATAGAATGGTAAACAAAATCCACAAAGATCTCTGACTTAATGAAGCTGAAATTCTAATAATGAGAAAAATTAACAATAAACATAATAAATAATTAAATTGTAAGTTGAAAGGTGAAAATTGCATTGGGGGTAAAAGAGCAGGGTAGGAAGACTGGAGTGCTTCAGAGCAGGATTGTGATTTTAGATCGAATCATTAGTGTACATTTTTAAAGGTGACATTGGTTAATGGCTTGAAAAGGTGAGAGAATTAGCCATACTGATATCTGAGGGAAGCTTGTTCATAGCAGAGAAATGTCAAGAGCCCCAAGGAAAGAGTGTGGTTGTTGTATTGTAAGAATGGCCAATGTGACTAAAGTGGCTAGGAGGAGAATAGGCGAAAAGATCAGAGATGTGAAGGGCACTGGGTTACTTAGGGCCTCCGTGGATAGAGAAATGAGGAGCCACTGGAGGGTTCTGAGTAGAGGAGAGGGAAGGAAGAAAGCAGTGAGTCTATTGTAATAATCCTGGTGAGAGACGATGCTGGTTCTGTACCACAGACGTGTCATGGGGAGAGGGAGAAGTGTAAAGATTATAAATATATTTGTAAGGGAGAGCCAAGAGGATTCCCTGATTGGATATGGGATATTCATAGAGGAGTCAAGGATGACTCCAAGGACTTTCATGTAAACAATTGAATGGTGAAAGAAAGAGGTCACTGTTCTTTGAGAAAGTTGAAAGGAAAGGAATAAGCCTGGAATGTTGCTTATAGGCAGTCCTCCAGTCTAGATTTGCAGAACCACCACCTAAGGACTTTTCTTAAAGTTCCACATCCCCTGGACCTGTCCCAGGAGATAAGGATTCAGCTAGTCTGGGGTAGACTTTGGGAACCAAGTTTCTCTTCTTCAAGATACCTTGGCTACTCTGATTTGGTCAGTCAGGACTAGCCTTCGATTTGTAGTAGAGGGATGGTGGTACGATATTCTACATGTGCCTGAACAAATCAGAGCTCAGTATTGCCTTTTATTGTATGACTCTGGTACTACAGCTTTCTGGAGTTGGTAGGATAGCTACAAGGATGAAGCAAACGTACTGCTACAAAAGCACAGAAACTATTATTAAAGAAAACTGCCAAAGGGTAACCCTATTGTGTCTCAGCATACCTTTCCTGTGGGTTTAAGTACTTCTGAAGGCAGTGCTTCCATCTCTCGAACCCTCCACCGACAATCTGCACCACATCAAACTGACAGTTTGATATTCTTTAGGCACCGACATTATGTTCCTTTGACATGTTGAGTTTGGGAAACAAAAAGAAATCTGAATGGGGCAAGATCAGGGCTAAAGGGTGAATGGGGTAACATTTCCTAAAAAATCCTCACAGGCAGCCCTTGCTACCCTAAAAAAAAAAGCAGGTGCATTTGCCTAATGGAAGAAGGAACAAACATTCTCTGATGCACCATTGCCGACCTTTTCTTACCAGTGCAGTTTTCCTTTTTCTTAAGATTTCTTCACAATATGTTCACATGATCATCTGTGTAATTTGGGAAAATCTATTAAGCTTACCCCTTGGGGAATCCTCCAAAATAGTCAACATAACCTCCACCTTGAGTTTGTTGGCCCAACAAATCCCTTCTGGAGCCACTGTTGTGACTGTATTTTTTTAAGCACACTAACAAGAGTAAGAAGACCTGGTCGAATTGATGAGAGTACTTTTCTGCTGTCATCCTTTGATCACAGAGACATGTGCAAGCATGTTTTGTTTGGAATTAACTTATGTATGTATGAACTGGAGCTCCAGTCACAGTAGTGTGTGTGTATATGTGTGTGTATATATATATATGTATATATATATGTATCTATATATATATAGATACATATATATATATAAATTTTTTACTTACCCTCATAGTAGACTTCTGATTTTAGTTGAACTGTACCATGACATGTTTTTTATCCTTTTCCTAATACTTGTCAAATTACTGCTGGAATGTACTGTCATCAAATAAGACTATTATAAAATTAATCTATCTACAGTTTTTAAGATTTAATTTTATTGGTGAGACTACTAAACCATTGCTACATAGGCTAGCATGATATTGAAGAAAGAGAACTGGTAGTCTTTTATTGTAAAACTTTTTTTAAATTACTACTCATAGTAAGAATGCTTCTTAAGTAATTATCTGCATGCTGAGCAAATTATGAGAATCTGGGCTATATTAAGAAGAATTCAGCATCAACATTTGAGAAGTCTCAGTAATAACTTGCAATATTTACATGACAAACCTTGCTTGCTGAAAACAAAGAGTACTCGAACCATTTACTGATTAAGATAAAAGACTATAAAAAAAAGATAAAAGACTATATACATCTCCACATAAAATCCTCACGACATCATGATATAGAGTGAAAAGACTGAATTTGTCAAGAATTTCATTTTATTTGGACCCACAATCAATGCTCACGGAAGTAGCAATCAAGAAATCAAATGATATATTTCATCTGGAAAATGTGTTGTAAATGACCTTTTTAAAGTGTTAAAAAGCAAACATGTTACCATGAGGACTAAGGTGTACGACAAGCCATAGTATTTTCAATCCCCTCATATATGTGAAAGTTGGACAATGGATAAGGAGAGAGAAAAAAAGTAAAATGGATGCCTTTGAATCATAAAGAATATTGCCATATCTCATGTTTTTTGGACATGTTATCAAGAGGGACTAATCCCTGGAGAGACCTCAACATGCTCGGTGAAGTAGAGGGTCGGCCAACAAGAGACAGACCTTCAATGAGATGGCTTAAACACAGCAACCGTTCTGAGGCTGGCGCAGGGCTAGGCAGTGTTTTGTTCTATTGCACATAGGGTTGCCATGAGTTGAAACTGACTCCATGGCACCTTGCAACTACAGCAACAGAGTAACACATAGATACATTCCATATTGTGACCCTAAATATAGTACATGTAGTTGTATCTACGTATGTGTACATACCCCCCCACACACAGAGATGCATGTATACATCCAGTGCTGTCAAGTGGATTCTACCTCATAGTAGCTTTATAAGCTAGAGGAGAACTGCCCTGTAGGATTTTCCAGGCTGTGATCTTTATGGAAGTAGACTGCCCTATCTTTCTGCCACAGAAAAGTTCATGGTTTCAAAGACCGTTCTTCAGGTTGACAACCAAGCACTTAACCACTGCACCTCCAGGGCTCCCACATATTTATATGAGTGTGTAGACATATATATGTGTGTAGACATATATACATTTGTACATTACTGAAAAAATGGTATGGGAGCCCCATCTGACCTTCCCTGGCTCTCAAGGCTGATTGCCACAAGGCAGAGGTCAGACATGCTTCCATCGCCATCCCTTTTTATCCTATTCTGACACCAACTGTCCTTTCCAGGACATTCTATTCTATGGTTGCCTTAAATTATTCATTGCAGTGGCCACAGGGAGCTCACAGATGATGTTCATTATTATGGGGTTTATTAGAATAGTCAACAGGTTACAAATTCAGGTGAGAAATGCTCATGATATTGTTGTTAAGACAGTTTCTTCTCTGCTGTGCCTATAGGTAGACCTCTCTCTGGCCCTCAGCCACTTAGCCTAGCTGCTGCCCTGCTCAGGTAATGTTACAAAGCTCTTTCTGGGCTGCCCAATGCCCAAAGTATGCCACGCTGCAGTAAGACTCAATTTGAAGGCACACCCCTAGTTCAGTGCCCAGAGGTACCCTAGTCTACAAGCCAGAGTCCTACCCAAAGCACTCAGCTTTACTTGCTCTGTGGCTGAGAAGTCCACTGGGCTGTCTCATGCTCTGACTCCCGGTTCTGCTGTCACTGTGCTCCTGGTATCAAAGCTACCTCCTGGACCAAGGAATTTCAACCCATAGGTAACGCAGGGTTCAAAGAACGTGTTCTACTCATGGTGTTTCTCTTTTAATGGTAATGAAACCCACCCCTCCTACTTCGGAGGTGGCTGGTTTTATATCTAGCCTGATGGTAATCACAATCAACCTGTTCAGGCTGAGTCATATAATCCAATCAGTATTGTCTACCACCTTCTTCTCAGATCCATGGTGGGCATAACAAAGGCTACAGCTAGAAAAGCCATATTAAATAATTCACGGCATTGCAATTACTGAAATAAAGTTTATGAACCAGTACTTCCCCTTACTATGTGAAGTGCACTCCAATACTTCCTACTACATTTAATGTAATGATTCTCTTTTGTTCTATGCTGTATTAAAATACTAGCTATACTTCATGAGATTGATTTTATGACCCATTAATTTATCATAACGTGATAAATTAATACTACAAGACATCCTTTTTCCATTTGACCTGTGAGCTGACAGGTTAGGAATCCTTTTCTAGTATTAAGATTTTATGAGTCTATCACTTGTAAATTAGTCTACCACCTGCAGGGACTGGTCCTTCCTGGTAACATGAGACTGTCAGTCTTAATGATATAACAAAGTGCAGAAATGTAAAATTTCGCCGAAAAATACACTTTCTTTTAAGCAAATTATGATCTCCAATTCTGTAAAAGAAACAAAAAATGAACCATAAAAGCTAGTATTTTCTCTTTGTAGTACGGATATCTTCATGAACACTTTTTGACACTGTGTTTTGAGAGCATTCCTAAATGGATTAAAAAAAAGAATGTGACTAATGCCTACAAAATACTCTGGGAGGTCAAGTACATATCAAAGATGAATTTCTACCTTTGCAACCCAAATAATTTCCCAAATACATGTAAATATTTATAAGAAACACCTTTTTTTTCCTTTCACTTTTGTCATGGATTGCATTTGTCCCCACTTAGCAGTTAGGGCCAGCTTCAGAAGAGGAACAGTCAGATGGGTCTTGGCTGAAAGGAGAGAATACTAGAAAGAGCTTTACTTGGGTTTTATTGAGTATGCCAAAGCATTCAACTGGGGGGATCATAACAATGTACAGATAACCTTGAGAAGAATGGGAATTCCAGAACACTTCATTATGCTCCTGGAGAACTTGTATGTGGATCAAGAGGCAGCTGTGCAAACAGAACAAGGGGATACGTAATGGTTAAAATCTGAAGGGAATGCGTCGGGGTTGTGTCCTTTTGCCATACTTTTTCAATCTGTGTGATAAGAAAATCATTAGAGTAGCTGGATTATATGATGAAGAATTCAGCATCAGGATTGGAAGAAGGCTTATTAACAGCGTGTAATAAGCAGATTACACAACTTTGCTCACTGAAAGTAAGGAGGACTTGAAGCATTTGCTAATGATGATCAAAGATTGCAGCCTTTAGTATGGATTAAAGCTCAATGTAAAAAAGACCCAAATCCTCACATTGACTAATAGGTAACAACATGCTAAATGGAGAAAAGGTTGAAGTTGTCAAGAATTTTATCTTGCTTGGGTCCACAATCAATGCTCATGGAAACAGTGGTCAAGAAATCAAACAGTGCATTCATTGCATTGGGCAAATCTGCTGCATACGACCTCTTCAGAGTACTGAAGAGCAAGGCTGTTTCTTTGAGGATTAAGGTATGCCTGCTTCACTTATAAATGTCTAAATAAAGGCATGTCCATATGTAAATGTATTCATATTTGACGATGGGGAAATAGAGCTATGTGCATATACTTATAGGTTTAGTATTAAGGTAGCAGATGGACATTGGGCCTCTACTCAAGTACTCCCGCAACACAAAAACACTTTGTTCTAATAACTTGGCATTCCAAGAGGCTCACCATCCTGACACGATCGCTGAAGACAAAGGTGGTGCATAAGCAAATGTGGTGAAGAAAGCTGATGGTACCCAGCTATCAAAAGATATAGCATCTGGAGTCTTAAAGGCTTGAAGATAAACAAGCGGCTATCTAGCTGAGAAGCAAAAAAGTCCACATGGAAGAAGCACACCAGCCTGTGTGATCACAAGGTGTCGAAGGCATCAGGTATCAGGCATCAAAGAACAAAAAATTATATCATTGTGAATGAGAGGGAGTGCGGAGTGGAGACCCAAAGCCCATCTGCAAGCAACTGGACATCCCCTTAGAGAAAGGTCATGGGGAGGAGACAGGCCAGTCAGGGTACAGTATAGCACCGATGAAACATACAACTTTCCTCTAGTTCTTTAATCCTTCCTCCTCCCCACTATCATGATCTCAATTCTACCTTACAAATCTGGCTAGACCAGAACATGTACACAGGTACAGATAAGAGCTGGAAACACAGGGAATTCAAGACAGATGAACCCATCAGGACCAATATTGAGAGTAGTGATACCAGGAGGATAAGGGGAAGGTAGGGGAGAGAGGAGGAATGAATCACAATGAACTATAACCCCCTCCCAGGGGGATGGACAACAGAAAAGTGGGTGAAGGGAGACAGCAATCGGTGTAAGACATGAAAAAATAATAATTTATAAATAATCAAGGGTTCATGAGGGAGGGAGGGTGGGATTGGAAGGGGGTAAAAATGAGAAGCTGATACCAAGGGCTCCAGTAGAAAGAAAATGTTTGGAAAATGATGATGGCAACAAATGTAAAAATGTGCTTGACACAATGGATGGATGGATTGTGATAAGAGTTGTACGAGCTCCCAATCAAATGATTTAAAAAGAAAGAAAGAAAAAAAAAGGTGTGCCTGCTTCAAGTCATGCAGAGTTTCCCTGGGGAATGACCTGAATCCTATATTCTCTTACAAGTCATCAAAGGATAAAGAATGAAATAGAGGAAGAAGACCTGGTTATGGCCATGAAAGAAGAGGCAGGAGCAGAGCCCATCCTGTGGCCCTGAGATCCCTACTCTGAGAACCTCCTGGGCTCACAGGAAGATTAGCACCAAGACACGTGCAGATCTCCCAGGGACACTGGGCTCACACAAGTTTAAAGATTTTCTGAAATTGCTAACAGAGAAAGCCTTCCCCCTGAGCTAGCACCATGAATGTTCACTTCCGGTCTCATAAATTGAGGAAGAATAAATTTGTGTTTGTTGAAGCCATCCACTTGTGATATTTCTGTTAAAACAGCACTTAATAGCATACACATCTTCAACTTGGCATTTGTTTTGTATTATTGTTTGCCATTCAGTAAATCATGCAGTATTATTTGAGTATATTGGAATGTTGAGAAAACAGCTAGTTCAATCCTAAATCTTTTACTGGAAAATTTTCTGGGCCTCTGAACTGACTTTTTTTTTTTAAACAGAAAAGTGGGTTTGTTTTTTTTTTTGGTACAAGTAATTTATCTAGGCCTTTTTCCCAACCCATAAGTGCTACCTTTAGTTTGCCAGCTTCTCATAATAAACTGGTAATTTCTGGAAAAAAATTTATTCAATACTTACCTCATTTGAACTATAAGAAGAAATGTCATTATATAAACATAATGACATTAATTATGCATTAATTATAACTCAATACTTCTTTTTCCTCTTTCAAAAACAATTTTAAGCTTATATTAATCTAATAAGAAGCTTGCAAATTTTAATTATAATATTGGCTGGACAGCACCAGCATATCTTGAGAGATTTAGCTTGGACTTAGCTCAGTCTTACAGGTTTTCCTGTAGCTAGGCTTCAATCTGTTGTAAGAGGTGATAGTGAAAAAATTCTTCTGCAAAGTTTATGGGTACCTCGGGAGAAACTTGTGGCTTTCTGCTCCTGCATGGAAAGCAGCAGCCTCAGCAGCCCACAGGAGCAGTTCTGTTCTGTTGTGTAGGCTCACTATGAGTCAGAAGTACCGTAAATAGTAGAAAACAAGAAGAGTCTTTTTAAAAACTGAATTACCACTTTGCAAGTTCAAATAAACTTAAAATATGATATAGAAATATTTAATTGCATGTAACCAGCATATCTGTAAAAAAGAGGTTCACGTAGTATTTCACCTCATTGTGATGAAGATTAATTAATAAAAATGTAAGATAAAAGTTAACAAAAACATAAAGCAATGAGAGCAATATTTTTTTTTTAACCTTAAGAGTAGTCAGTACTAACGGGAAAGGTTTTAGACCATATTTTTTAGAAATTTTATTGGAATAAAAATTAGAGAAAGCCATCCAGAGCGGTGGCAGAAAGGAAACATTTTTCATACTTGGGTGCTAGGATAGTGTTTAATGTACTGAACCACACTCTCTGAGGGTCCCAGAGGGTCTTTCCAATGAACAGTGCCCTTTTTGTAATCCAGGGCAAAGACTCCTTCTATCCTCCCAGAGACAGCCCAGCTCTTTCCTAAGTGCTCTTGGGGACAAATCAGTAAGAGCTGTGTTAGAGGTAGAAAGTAGTGAATAGGTGAGTTCAGGCCAAGGAGATGTTTCTGGTTAGGGAACTGGAGCTTTTCCCCAGAGGAAGTGGCTCCAAAGCAGGAATTTACATATCAATGTCAAGTAGAATTTGACTTCAGAAAATGCCTGAACCAAGCCTGAACCAAGAAAGCCATGTGGAAGCTAGCAAGGTTCTGGCCAGTCAACTGCTTGCCTCACGATGGACGGTGCAGCAGCCCTTGAGAGACATGCCCCATGGGGATGAACTGGGCAAGAGTCAATGATTCTGAAAAATTGAGTGAATATTCATTCACTGAATGCCATAAACTTGTAAATATTCACAGCATTACATCAGGCTTAGTTTTTACTCTATGTTTCAAACTGATTTTGTGAGCAAGCATTTGCTTGAAGTTGATGCATGCCCGTACTTGCTGAATGGGATCAAAATATTAACAGCAACTCAAAAGCTTAGATCGGAACAAGGAGGAGCACATCTGCAAAGGAGGGTGAGAGTGCCTGCGCAAGATGAAGCATGTCATCAATGTCACTATTGTACAGGTAGAAACTGTAAAACGGGGATGTATTTTGCTATGCGCATTTGTAACATCAACAGAAGACCCACATCTGTAATAGCTACATAGTGTTGTAAATTTTATATTTGGTGAATTTTTAAGTGAAAAATGAATGCTTCTCCTTATTAGACACAGGAAACATGGAAGTACTGCACCTGTATGGAAGTAAGGAGCAGAAGCAGCAGTGGCTTGAGCCTCTTCTTCAAGGAAGCATGGCCTCCTGCTTCTGTATGACAGGTAAACGGCGAGCCTGTGCGCTCTCTGCCCCGGCGGGTCAGCTACGAAGTCAGTATCGATGAGCCCAGGAGAGGCGGCATGTGGTTCTGGGTTTTCAGCAAATTTGCCTGTGTCCAGATATGTGAGTATGTTAGTCGTGAGCCCAGTTTTTAAATTCTGACATTTTTTAATGTGCAGAATACAGTTGTTCACTTCAGAGCAGGGACCAAAAAAAAAAGAAACAAAAACAGCTAGATATTTTCTAGTAGCCTGTTTTAGGGATTAACAGCCAGGTAAAAATTGTTTCATAATTTTTTTGAGTGACAATTCTAAAATACCACCTATGAACACAGAGAGGTGTTCTTGTTTTTAACCTATTGTATATTCATTTTTATAATTATTTTAAATTTACAAAATAATCACCTATTCTGTAGACCTGTACAAATAGAAATGTAAGCAGTGTTGGACACCTGACTCAAATATAATCATGTGAAAAAATAAAACTAGGAATATAATAATAAAACTGGGTATGAAAACACTTGTATAATTACAATGGACTTTGTTGATTCATAATTGAATCTAGAATTACACTGAATTCTATGGGTCTTTTCTTTTAAAAATCAGTTTTATTGAAGTATAATTTATATACAACAAAATGGACCCATGTTGACTGTGCAGACAAATATCATAAATGTATACACTATAGCCACTACTACTGTCAAGCTATTGAACAGCCCTGGTCATGATTTTCAAGTGTTTTCAATAATAGCCAAGTTTACCGTGCTATGTGATATTACATAGGGGAGCTGGGGTGGCACAATTGTTGAGTGCTCAGCTGCTAACTTACAGACCCACAGTTTGAACCCACCTGCTGATCCATGGCAGAAAGATGCGGTGGTCTTTCTGTAGATTTACAGCCTTCGAACACTGTAAGTCACCGCTACCCTGTCCAAAAGGTTGCTTTGAGTCAGAATTGACCCAACACTTGCATTTGATTTGGAGATAATACTGCATTGATTTTTTTGAATAGCTAGCTGGTCTTTTAAGTCCTTAAGAGGCATTTATTGAACATCTGCAGGATAATTAAAATAAGTACGCAGCCATTTCTCAGGAAACTGGGTCTCTAGTTTTTCAGCTGGAGATAAAACACATCAGATATCTGACAGAAAGATTAAAAGAACAAGCGCAGATTACTATGATCCAGGGGTAGCTTGTAAGTGCTGCAATGCCTGCCATGGTGGTGTCCCAGGACAAACTCCCTGAAGGTGGTGAGTGCTGAGCCAGCTTAAAGAATGCCACCTATAGAGATTGATGAGAGAATTCCATTTCAATATTTGCAAGGCACTGTTAGAAATTGTTTAAGATTGTAAACTATAATGAGGAACTCTGGGTTGCCAATATGGAGCCATTGTGGGAAGTCGAGAATGATTTTTCCCCTACTTTTGATAGTCAGAGTGAGGAAGTATTCAGTGAGTTATGTCCTAAGTCATCTACCAAAAGCACAAGTCAGCAGAATGCTGACATCCACTGTTGTAAAATACACCTTTCATTTTAATGCACGTGTATTGAATATCTACTATGTGTAGCTCAGGGAGGACCAGGATAGAATGGGGAGCTAGAAAAACGAAAAAGGCATGAATCCCTTTCCCTGTAAAGTGCTCACGTTCCCTTTTGCAAGTCTCTTTTGCAAACTAATGACAACTACCTGCTGTTAATTTCAGCATTGTCTTCCTTACAGAGCCTGATGTTGCTTCAAGCGACGCCACCAATATTGAATGTAGCATCCAGCGAGATGGTGACAGCTATGTCATTAATGGCAAGAAATGGTGGAGCAGTGGTAAGTGTTAGGAAGAATTTTCTTTTTCACTCAACATATTTAATCCTTGTGCCAAACACTGTGCAGGAATAATACAATGTTAGTAGTTTTATGATCAAATTCTTTAAATGTTCCTTCGAAAGCATTTCAAAATTTAGAAAAGTCATTCTCAAATGCCAACTTGAATGGTAATCTTTACTTTCAAAGCTGAAAAATACATCTTTTGGGGTGTGTGTGTGTGTGTTTTCTCTTCTGTTTGTAAGAGACCAATTCATGTGAGTGCTATTTTTAATCAGAACAATTTTTTTCTATAAAATTTCATTTTAATAGGAACATAGCACATGGACTCTAATATTTGTTTTGAAAAATTTTAGTTATACACATTATTGAAAACAGTTTATTGTGGTAGAATTTTTATTGCTTAAAAATATGTCTTTAAATGAAAAGAAATTTTACACATAGGTCACTATATTGTTTATACAGTACTCTGTAATAGATTCATATAAATGCATAAGCTTTTAATAAAAGTTAGAGCCTAGATAAATATGATAGTCTGAGGATTATTTCTATCATATAAATGATTAATATAATACATATTAAAGGTAACCAATTATTTTTAAAGAAAGTTAATATGGAAACATTATATCTTTAGAAATTTGCCAATATTCATCAAAAGTCTAGAAAAACCATATTGTATATATTTTTGTTATTTATTATCCTTTCTGCGATTTTATGAAATAAAAAAATTAAAACTGGAAAAGGCAATTTTTACTACATAGTTATTTACTAAAATAATATATGGAAGCAGTTCTTATTTAACATTTAGATAATTAAAGAGTTATAAAGTCTTCTGAATGTAAGTCTCTAAGTCTGTGTTAGATGGCTTAACCTGTAATATAGTGTTTGTATTTATGCATGCCTGGTACTCCTATTTTCCTGTAGTGTTTAATTTTCACGTTTCTATATTTACTCTCTTGTTTCCACTTCTCTGCGTCTACTCTCCCCACTCTCCCACCTCTACACATTCTTTCCCATAAGTTACAACCACAGTGGTTGAGATTTGAGTTTCAGAACAATGCAGATGTTTCATCTGAGGGAGTCACATCATTCATGGGCAGCCAAGCAGGAGACAGAGCAGTTCCTCATTTAAATGCTTAAAGTACTGGTTGGCTCTGTAGGACCTTCAGAATCAAAAGGGATCTCCTCCACATTTTGTCTCTGTCTTCTCCAGTAGCCATACGTCTTGGCCACTTTGGTGATGTAGCTTTTAAAAGAGGCTCCCATGAAAACATAGAGGAGTGGGTTGAGGCAGCTGTGGAAGAGCGCGATGCTCTCCGTGACTTGGATGGCAACATCCATACGTTTGCTCATGTCGCAGTCGGTGATCAGGGAGTAGATGGTGTCTATAGCTTGCCAGAACTTGACAATATTATAAGGCAGCTGAGTGACAATGAAAACTACAACCACCGTGAGCAGGACTTTGAGGGGCCTGGATTTTTTAATGTTTGGGGTCCTGATGAGTGTCCTTGCCGTGATAAAGTAGCATACACCCATAATAAGAAAGGGCACGGCAAACCCGATGAAGATCTCCAGCATTTGAATTGCTGCCTTCATTGATGTCCCCAGGTGGTGCGGAAAGATGGGAAGGCACCTAGCCTTGACATTGACGGTATTGAAAACCAGCTGGGGTATGCTCAGCAAAACGGCAGCCATCCAGACACAGGAACAGATGATCCAGCATGATCGCCCCACTCCTGACTGTCTTGGGATCTTAGTTACTGCTAAATATCTGTCTACACTGATACAAGCCAGAAACTGCATTCCAGACACAAAGTTGACTGTGTACAAGGCTGAAGTTACTTTGCACATCATTTTCCCTAAGACCCACCCATGAACGGCATTAACTGCCCAAAAAGGCAGAGTGAAGAGGAGTAATAAATCTGCCACCGCCAGATTCAGGATATACACATCTGTTTTGGTTCTCTGTTTCTTGTAATAGGCATAAATTGCCACCACTGTGGAGTTTCCGGCAAGACCAATGATGAAAGCGATTGTGAAGAAGGCAGGCAGGAAGACTTTGGCAAATTTTCTGACCTCTTCTTTCACACAGATGACCTCATACTGGCTGTAGTCATGGGTACCGTTGATTTCAGGTTCCTCATAGTAGTAGTCTGCCGACTGGTTGTGTTCCAACGCCATGGGCTCAATCTAGCTGGCAAAGACCATAAAGAAGCTCATTTTAATAGGACTTGAAGGGACACGTATTTTATACAGCATTATTTTGTTCTTTCTCAAGAAAAGAGATGGCTGCTGAACCTGATGTAAGCCTCGAGTTGGCCTTCTCTGAAGCTATTTAATGGGACACCCATTGTAGTCTAGCCCTGCCTTTGCTCGCTCAACTGCCACAAGTCTGTGTGCAGGAGCTTTGTTGCATGTACACGGGGAAGAGAAAACAAAGGTCCGAGAGAACTGTCTCAATCATTGAACTCTCAATAAAATGACAAGCACCGTAATAGTTAAAAGTTCCTAAAAGATGACATGATGGTCAATTTTCCACTGAAAAAATTTTTGGCACATGTGATTCTTATGGATTGCACCTGCTTTAAATTAATAAATTAAAATAAAATAAATTATTTAACACCAATATAGCTTATTTTTATAAATTACATATACATTTGTTTTTAATCAGTTAAATAAATTATCTCAGCATTTATGCTGAATTTCACAAGATAACATTTATAGAACAAGGTCTTCTTCAGTCTGCTTCTCACCAAACCTTCTTACTTACTCATGGTATACTCAATTGATAGTGCCATTAATCCCAAAGCCACCGAAGCTTCTCTCTTCATCCCTGGTTTCAAATCAGTTCTTAAATTCTGGTTTTGCCTCTACATCCGTCTTGAATCTGCCCCCTTCTAAGCTGCACTCTTGCCGTCATACTGCCAACTGCCATTCCCCTGACAACTACTGCTCCCTAACCGGTATCATACTGTTCTTCTTCTTCCCCCCACCCCCTTATTGCCCTCAGATGTCCTCTCTCTGAAAGGTCAGTCAGTCAGTGCCCTGCTTAGCTCTGCCATGGCCCCTCTTCACCTAAAAGACACAGCCCAAGCTGTGCTCAGAGCCCTGAACAGATGACAGGGAAAAGATGTGTTTCCCTGACTGCTTAGTTTCTCTACACTCTAAGTTCCCCTAAAGTTTGAATCATTTGGTTTCTCTTTGTAACTTTAATACATACAGAGTGCTGGGCACATGCTAGATGCTCAGTAATTATTTGCCAAATGGAAGGTTTTGCCAGCAGGCATAAAGTTGATAATCTAGAATGGATAGTTGCTATGTCAGGAATTTCCTGTCTCAGCATCAAGTTTTTAAAAACTATATCGGCACTCATAGTGCTAACATAAGCTTGCCCAGAATTCCCACATTATAAAGCAAATATAATAATGACTTTCCATGTTTTTATTTGAGTGCTGACTTTTAACTTTTTCTTAAACCTCTCTTATCCTCTAACTATTTTTAAACTGCCAAGAATATCAAGTAAGCCTATAAAATCACTAGTGAAAAATATTTTTAACAGTTTATCAGATTTCTGTGCATTTTCGAAAGAGTAATCTTACACTTGCTAAACCTTTTTGGATGAGTAAAGCAGAGAAGGTCCTGAGGACATACCCTCCCCAGGAGAACTGCTTGCTGTATACAAGAACCAGGTGCTGATCATTTTAAGTGGCTGTTTTTACCATGAGTATTATTTGAAAAGTTTCAATCTGGTAAGACTGTCCTGGTCTTTACCTTCTTATCCCTTAATCATTAACACAATACAAACTTTGTTCTTTTCTTCTCTCTTATCAGAAATCTTGTATGGGATAATCAGGAATAATATGGTCAAATGCTATGGACTGTTAATGAAGTGTATTTTTAAGTAAGAACTAATCTTACTAAAAATGTGAGTTATAAGAGTGAGCATAGAAATCAATTGCAGAAATTATACTTTGATACAAAGGCACACATGAAATTATAATTATTATAAGAACAAAAAATAGCATTTGTAAAATAAAGCAAAGAAACATAGCAAAATAGATTTTCTCCTTAACAGTGTTTTACAGGCAAGTATTCGTATTAAAAGACTTCATCCTTGCTATGTCCAGGTTTGCGTCTTAAGGTTAAAGTGCACAACTGATTTCAAAATAACTTTTTTGCACATGTAAACGTTTAACCTCCCATGCATCAAGATTTCTTCTATGGAGATAAATAACTGAAGTCTTAGGGATCTAAAAAAAAAAATCACATTCAAGTCAGAAGGAAAAAAGGAAGAAAGAACCAACCTGCTTCCGTCGCCAGAAGGGTGCTGGGAGGAGTGCGGGGCTGAATGCAAAAGCCCTCTCTCAGTCAGGCTGCTTTTGTTTTCGCTTTACACCACGCCTTTGTCTTGCATCCAAGAGGGCTTTCCTGAAATTTAACCTTGTGAGCACTTGAATTTTTCTTTGTAGCCATCCTACTGAGTCCATTCCAAATTCCTAAGTGTGCTAGGAGACTAATTTGAAAGAATTCTCCCTTGTTCCAACAACCACAAGCCTTTCGGTGTTTCCACTGCAGCCAGCATGAACAAGAAAGTGCCTGCAGCTGAGGCAGTAAGTAACTGCCAAACCAGAAGGAGAGTTGGCCCCAGACCAGGAGGAGGCAGCTAACCAGCAATTCTAGGCCACAACTCGAGAAATAGTCCTTAAGGTTTCTGTCGAGGTGAAAACACAAAAGTGGTTGTAACCCAGGAACTTTTCTTTTTGAACACTCTGAGCCATCACTAGAGGTGCATAATAATTTTGTAGGATACTTCCCTTAATATTTAATATTTTGTGTATTTAATGTATAATATATTTAATACATAACATATTTCATTTAAATAACATTCATTATAATATTTAATATTTTAATAATTGTATGATGTTTTAATAATATTTTGATATTTTGTATGATACTTCATTTAATATTTTAAAGTGGTTTTAACCTAGGAACTTTTCTTTTTGAACACTCTGACCCTTCATTAGAGGGGCATGATAATTTTGTGATACTTAATTTAATATTTTACTTCAACTTTTAGACCCCTGATGGCTCTACTATCTTCCTCCTTGACCCCCAATCCTTTCTCTATACTTTTCAGTGGGATTCTAAACTCTTGTTGTCTCCGAACCTTCTTCAAGGTCCAACACAGCACTCTGCTGTCTGGAAAAGTTGTTTGATTTTCCCACTTTGATATTCAAACCAATGAGAGCTATAGAAATGTACACGTGTCTGAGCCTCAGTGGTATATTTGAACTTGACCCTCTCCTCATTTGTATATCTGTTCCCCTGTTTCTTTTCTCATGCAAGGCCAACCAGGCTCAGTCTCCACCTGCAGCAGTGATTTCAGACCCCTGCTATGCATTTCTCTAAGCAGTTAGCCTAACCTTTTTGGCTCAAAGGAAAAGACATCATCTGAGCCTTCATCTTCCCCTTAATAAGCAGCCCAGGGTACATCCAGCTTCCTTCTCTCGGTACCCTTTATTCCTTCAGGACGAGGTATTTGTAACCCATGACTATAACCTGGAAGGCCTGGTGATTTACTTTTGAAAAATCAGCTATTGAAAACCCTAAGCAGTTCTATTCTGTATATGGAGTTACCATCAGTTGGACTCAACCCAGTAATAATAACTAATGACAACAAACTGGCACGCAGGGGCGCATGCGTGTGCGCACACACACACACACACACACACACACACACACATGGCTGAGTTTGTAACATTTTCCATGGTATAAATATTCCCGCCGTGGTCAATTTCCGGAGACCAATGTGAACTCGCTGAACGCAGAGTGGCTGTGACCAGAGCACGGCCAGTCCTGTGAACAGCCTCCTTGGAAGGCGGCATCTCTTCCTCTTGCTGTGACTGGTGATTGCTTTCGTCTTGAAGGACATGGCACTCATTGTTTTCTCTGCCCAGGGTAGACTATTTGGTATTTCCTTTTCTGTTAACCCCCCGTTCTTCTCGATCCCTGCATTGGGGCAGGGGGAAACGAGCAAACAAAAGTCCAGTAAATGCTTGGAGTGATCTACATGTTGCCATACAGTCTGCGTCCATTCTCCATTGCCTCTCCGACCCCCTTCCGTACTACTTGTGCTGCCACACTGACCTTGCTCTTTGGGAACATAGCAGGCGCATTCCTGCTTAGGACTTTTGCCCAATCCTCTTAGCTCCCCGAAATGCTCCTCTTTACATTTGCTTTCTTCACCACTTCCCCAATGAGGCAGTCTCTGACTACTCTATAAAGAGAATTCAGAAACTTGGTGGGAAAAGTTCATCCTCTTTTAATTCCATTTTTCCACCCTCCATTTTGACTCAGCAGGAGAAATCATTCCCCATGTTTTCCTGGCAGGAGTTGCTGTCATTGAAGGTGTTTCTGGGCTCTCTTCCAGCCACCTTACCTATAGCACGAATGTTCAAGTGCGTCTTATTTGTCTTATGTGTCCTGGCTATTGTTTCTCACTCTGCGTTAGACTAGAAACGTCATCAGGACACAGAGACTTGCTTTGTTTTGTTCACAGATATACCTATGCACCAGAGAATAGTGTATGCGCAATAAATATTTTAATTGGTAGCCTTCTTGACTCTTTCTTATGTATTTTAATATGTTTTTCAGTATATAAAGCACAAGATGGGTGTATTTATAGAGACAATAAATAGAATAAGGGTTCCTGGGGGTGCAGCAGGGGAGGTGAGGATACAATGGGGAGCCGATATCAAGGAGTACAAGAAGGAAGAAATGTTTTGAAACTAACTGTGTTAGTGATTGTACATTGCTGATATGACTAAACTACTGAATGGTATTGTAGTAAACCACTACAGTTAACCCCAGTGTAACCATATTGTTTTAGGTAGCCTGAGTATAGCCATTTTGTACTAACCCAAGTATGGCCAATTTTCAAATCCTGTAATTCTTCTTATAACTGTAGCTTTCTGTAACTGCTGAGTCATCACCATTTACTTTTTAAATTGCTGATAAATGTGTCTAAACCCCTGCTCCAAGTCCCCCCTTTCCTCCATACATTGAGTTGCCACCTGCCCCCTATGCCTTTGTATCTAAGTTACCCTTTTCTCTTACAGCACGACACCCTCTGCTCCCTATGCCTTGTATAAAAACCTCCCACTTTAAGCACTCAGAGTCTTGGGAGAATTAGGCTCTAGCCACCCCATGACCGCCAGCTAATAAAGGCTTACTAACTTTAATTAAAGTTGTGTGGGGGTTAATTGATCTCATTCTTGCACAACAATACTATGTCTGGATTCTGTACTAATAAAATAGGGTTGTGGGTAGGGGAAAGACTCCTACTAGCCTTTTTTATTAATATCTCACTTTACTTGCCCTTGCTGCTATACTTTTTTCATGACTGGCGTATATATTTGCACCCTGTATAATTATCGATAATGTAATGCCTTTTATCCATCTACATAATATATACACAAAACTGATTTGTGACCTTGGCACATGATGCAACTCCTATCTAGCATACTCCTTCAGCTCCACTGGGACTCCCTGTTCAGGGTTCAAGTCTGACCTTCCGCATTATTTAATCCGGGATGATTCTCCTAATCCTTCTATACTGGATCAAACATCCTACTCTCTGTGTATATCACACTCTGTTATTATTTAGTAAAATAGTCTACCCTCCATAGCTTTCTTGTCCCTTTTTATCATTGCCAAAGATTTTTCCCCCAGTCTGTAGGTTCTCTTTTCACTCTTTGCTAAATGCCCTTTGTTAAGTATAAATATTTTTTAGGAGGTTTAGTTATTTAGTTTTTCTTATATTGTTTGTATAATTTTAGTTATGTTTGATAGTATATTTACACTATAAATTAGGACCCCTAGCTTTGTCTCTATGTTTTCTCCCAGAGACTCTTACAAATTTAGGTTTCACATTTAGGCCTTTAATCTATTTGGGTTCTATTTTATTTTTCTGTAAATGAATATTCAGTTTTCCATTACCACTTGTTTAAGAAGAATTTCTCTCCATATAAAATTGAAGAAGAGTTTTCTAGTTAATAAAGAATGTTCTTGGGATTGGTAGTTTTATGGTTACTTAAAAGTATCTGTCCCTTTCTTTTGTTTACTCCCCCTACCCAACAACTATATGATTTCTTATAAATAGAAGTCCCTTCTTGGAAATCAGCCTAAGTTCTATAATCTTTACATTGTTTGAATGTGTACATCAGTTTTGTTTTTTTTGGTGCCTTTGATAGGTTTATTTAATGTATAATGTTCCATTTCCTTTAAATATAATCAACATTTTACTTTGGACATGTCATCAGGAGAGATCAGCCCCTGTAAAAGGACATCTAGCTTGGTAAGGTTTAGAGTGTGAGAAAAAGAGGAGGACCCTGACCAGATGGCTTGGCACAGTGGCTGCCCTGATAAGTCCAGACATAGCCATCGTGAGACTGGCGGAGCTCCAGACAGCATTGGGCTGAGGTGCACACAGTGTCCCTGTGAGTTGGAACCGACGGGTCAGCACCGAACAGGAACAACAGCAACATAGGGCCCTCCAGCCTGAGGCATGTGGCAATCAGTCTTGCAAGCGACAGAGGACAACAGATGCCATCAACATGCCATTTCTTCAAAGCCTCTCTGATTTCTTTCCCAGTTTTAAAATGATGCTGCTGATTTGGAAGCTGAAGGTTTAAGGTCCTGGAACCTTGATTGTAGAAAAACTCTGGGATGGCCATGATCTCACCAGCCAGGTCCACGCAGAGAGAGGGAGGAGGAGAGAGACCTCCTTTATTTCTGACCAAGGCCTCTATATACTTAGGGGCATGTAAGCCCTCTGATTACAGGTAACCACATACATCACAGGAAGGGGCTCGTACATCAGTTTTCTAATTCAAGCACATACCTAGACCTTGAGGCATCAGGTCTCAGGACCCAGCTTCTTCTGATAGTGCGGTATGAGGTGGGGGTGCCAGGCCCCCAGCACTTACCATGGGTTCAGCAAGCACAATTGTACAGTTGAGATATATAAGTATTATATTAAAGTCATCAAGAGCATGAGAGAAAAAAGATATTACAATAATGGAGTCAGACACATTTCATGGTAGCATTGCTCACCTCAACCCCACTTGTTGGTCCACATGGAGAGAGGGGGAAGGGAAGGAGGACAAGGGGAAAGGGAAAAGGGAGGAGAGGGAGCCGAGGAGAGGCCAGGGAGGGAGAATGAAGGAGAGAGAACTCTATTGCTAACCCAGGCTTATATACCTTTGGGGGGTGTGCAAGCCCACTAATTACAGGTAAAGACATACGTCACAGGAAGGGGTTGCACTATAGGTTATACAGCAATGAGAGGGGGTGGTCTAGGGACATACACGCAATAGGAAGAGGAGGAATTGGGGGTATACATGTGACAAGCTTGGCAGATCCTAGATTTAGGATGGCAACTTTGACCTGTTCTCTGGGTCTCCATAGGAACCATTAGCAGTAGGGTATCAACCCCCCACCTACAGGAACCAAGCTAATGGTCACAGC